AAAAGACTTGTTCAACGATGCTGCATTCGTCTGGGATAACAGATATTCATAAATCTATTTATTAAATACAATACTGCTATACCCTCAAGCGCTGCAGTTGAACGTTTGTTTTCCACGGGTAAAGACATTTTGACACCAAAACGAGCCTCGCTTTCAGACGAAAACTTCAACATGTTAATGTTCATGAAGGGGAATATGCACCTTATGCCCGACGCTTAACCCGTCGCGCGTTTCCTATTTTTCGCAAAAAAACTCTTTCCCTTTATTTAGAAAAAAGTTCTTGTAAAAACAATATGCAATCATAAAAACAGAAAGTTGACCAATAGCGTTATTATCACGGTGTGTGCATAAAGCGCGTCGCGCCATTAAGGGGTTGAATTACACATTTGAATTATACAAGTATTTTGTTTTATTCATAACCTGTTAACTTCCAGAACCTAAACCAATAAGTTTTTTAAGTTCACTAACGCAACAATATAAAAATGTAATTTTATACATATTAACGGATTAACGATTAACGTTAACTTGCGTTAATTATTCCGAAATGTAACGCTTTAACGTTTAACGAAGCTAACTTTTTTGTAGCGGATTAACGATTAACGAAGTTAACTTTTTGATTAACGGTGCCCAGCTATGTATATATATATATATATATATATATATATATACTTAAAAAATTTTGAATTTGATGTTGATATAATATATTTTATTTGAGTTTAAAGGTCAGGCGTTACATCAATAAAAATAGTATGATAAATCTATTTAAAATCCATACGTTACGGATAGCATCTTAGCCTTCATTCAGGGGCAATCAATATAACTATGAAAATAAAAATAAAATGTATCCTAATATAATATATGAAAACATTATTACTCCATAGTATGAGTATGTGCACAATGGTCTTTTTTAACGTCACAAATGGTAAAACACACATATAAACATGAATAACTTATATATATATATATATATATATATATATATATATATATATATATATATATATATATATTGTTGAGAATTGTGTTCTTTATAATTATAAATGTTAGTCATAAGTAAATTCATTTGAACGATGTATAATCGATGTATAATCTTGTACATCTGCAAGACAACCCTTAATAAAAGTTCATGATAGTCCATGTACCCTCGGCGAACTATCATAAAACTAGAAATATTGGAAATATTTTTAAAAATGTAAAAATATAAGTCAGTTAGTCCTGAACTATTGAAGAAGTAACAACTAAAAATATTATAATAAAGCGCTAAATAAATTTTTGTATCTAAATAAATTCTTTGATTTCACACACTTCCAGAAGAGCTACAAATGTTCCAATTCTCGTCGTTAAGTATTCCAAATAAAACTCTAATCTACTCAAGAAGTTATTAAAAATTGGTTACATTTAATAAATTAATTAGTAAATTCATTACTAAGGTCTCTTCAATATATATATATATATATATATATATATATATATATATATATATATATATATATATATTGAATGGTAGAGTTTTGGATTTGTGTATATTTTGTAGAGTTTCGAACAAAATCCAAAAATAATACAAAATAAAAAACAAGAAAAGTTTTTAAAAAACAATTTCTTTATTTAATTATTTGTTTATTGTCAACGTTTCGGAACTAGGTACGTTCCATCTTCAGGACATCTGTCAAGATTGACTGATCAAACATACAGGTAATTAATTCAATTTTATCATTAAGCCTTTCTTAAAAAAAATTTCCATAACTTTCAAAAAAAATTCTATCATTTTTAATATCCTGTTCTGATAATCCACTCATTTATTTTTATCATTTTCTTTTTGATCATATTATCATATTTCTGTACATTATTACTTGTTACAATTAATTTATTATTTAAGAAAAATCTATTTTCTATTCCTAAACATATTGTTTGCTTAAATCTCATCAAGATCATGTTTCTTGACAGATGTCCTGAAGATGGAACGTACCTAGTTCCGAAACGTTGACAATAAACAAATAATTAAATAAAGAAATTGTTTTTTAAAAACTTTTCTTGTTTTTTATTTTGTATTATTTTTGGATTCTTGTTCGAAACTCTACAATATATATATATATATATATATATATATATATATATATATATATGTATATTAATTGTTTAATATGAACAAAACAGCACTCAGATTTGTTTAACACAACTTTATTTTATGATTACAGACGTTTCGAGACCATGGTGTGTCTCATCTTCAGTGTAATTTCAAAAACAGTTACTTATATACTACACATTCTTTAATAATTTATTTAAATTTCATTTAATTTTTGATATACAAAAAACACCAACTATTCCTTGCAATGCTTGACACAGTACTAAAGAAACATATAACACTTACAGAAATATTCTAAACAAATTTGAAGTACTTATCTAGATGGAGACAGGATGGGTATCATTATAATGTAAACAAAAGGAGTGCTATCGCATACAAAAATCGATAAAAATGAAAAAATAAATTAATTTATTGAAAAGAATAAGATAAATGAAAATTTTTTTATAAATTATTAATGATGTTTATATAAGTGTCATGTAAAATATTTGTGTCGGTTCTTAGATTTATGCTATTGTTAGTCCGAACTATTAACATTGATTCTGCCATGCTCCGTTTAAATAAGTCTTTCTCATGGAATAAAATTTGGGGATTGTCAAAATCAAACTTATGGTTGTTGATATTAGCATGATCCACAAGTGTACTTTTAAATTTTTTGTTATCTATTTTTTCACATTGTAATTCATGTTGCCTGAGTCTCTTTTCTAAGTTCTGGCAGGTCTGGCCAATATAAGAGCAATTACAATCCAAACAATTTACTTTATAAACTATATCTTTCTTTTTTGTTAATGGAGTTTCATCTTTAATTTTGGAATATAAAAATTTTAATTGTTTTAATGGAGAAAAAGTAATACGAATATTGTGTTTTTTGAAAAGTCTTTTTGATAATTGGTTAAAATTATTGTCAAGATATGGAAAATTAATGAAAAAAGTTTTTTCAGGAACACTTGTTTTGCCAGGCTCTTCCGGTTTCTTATCAAAAGGTTCTAGTAATTTTGCGACTCTAGTTTTAATAATTGGACAAATTAACTTATATGGAAAATTATTGCCAAGTAGGATCGTTTTAACTAATTTTATGTTTGTATCATAAAACAGGGGATCAGATAATAAAATAGCGTGATCTACAAGATTTAGAATGGTAGAAATTTTTATATTGACTCATTATTATAAAACTCATTAATAGAGGCGGTGTATGTTATACAGACTGGTACAGAAAAGATAGTTGGTCCGGGAGATACATTAATTTTAATTCGCATGTTCCTCTCAATATAAAAATTTCTACTATTCTAAATCTTGTAGATCACGCTATTTTATTATCTGATCCCCTGTTTTATGATACAAACATAAAATTAGTTAAAACGATCCTACTTGGCAATAATTTTCCATATAAGTTAATTTGTCCAATTATTAAAAATAGAGTCGCAAAATTACTTGAACCTTTTGATAAGAAACCGGAAGAGCCTGGCAAAACAAGTGTTCCTGAAAAAACTTTTTTCATTAATTTTCCATATCTTGACAATAATTTTAACCAATTATCAAAAAGACTTTTCAAAAAACACAATATTCGTATTACTTTTTCTTCATTAAAACAATTAAAATTTTTATATTCCAAAATTAAAGATGAAACTCCATTAACAAAAAAGAAAGATATAGTTTATAAAGTAAATTGTTTGGATTGTAATTGCTCTTATATTGGCCAGACCTGCCAGAACTTAGAAAAGAGACTCAGGCAACATGAATTACAATGTGAAAAAATAGATAACAAAAAATTTAAAAGTACACTTGTGGATCATGCTAATATCAACAACCATAAGTTTGATTTTGACAATCCCCAAATTTTATTCCATGAGAAAGACTTATTTAAACGGAGCATGGCAGAATCAATGTTAATAGTTCGGACTAACAATAGCATAAATCTAAGAACCGACACAAATATTTTACATGACACTCATATAAACATCATTAATAATTTATAAAAAATTTTCATTTATCTTATTCTTTTCAATAAATTAATTTGTTTTTTCATTTTTATCGATTTTTGTATGCGATAGCACTCCTTTTGTTTACATTATAATAATACCCATCCTGTCTCCATCTAGATAAGTACTTCAAATTTGTTTAGAATATTTCTGTAAGTGTTATATGTTTCTTTAGTACTGTGTCAAGCATTGCAAGGAATAGTTGGTGTTTTTTGTATATCAAAAATTAAATGAAATTTAAATAAATTATTAAAGAATGTGTAGTATATAAGTAACTGTTTTTGAAATTACACTGAAGATGAGACACACCATGGTCTAGAAACGTCTGTAATCATAAAATAAAGTTGTGTTAAACAAATCTGAGTGCTGTTTTGTTCATATTAAACAATTAATATTCGTTCCACTCATATCATAAAATTATATATATATATATATATATATATATATATATATATATATATATATATATCGGTTATAGATCCACTGATGATATCAAATTGTTTGTCGAAACGTTTGGAATTAAAGACTAATTTGTAAATCTTAGTTTTGTAAGACGTCGTAAAGCGACGTCTGCAGGTGGCAAAGTTTCGGGAAAAAAAGTGATTTACAGAACAATAAATCTAGTAAATATGGTGGTTATACTACGATATTCACGGCCACGGCCCGCTATGCATTTTGTAATTTAATTCAAATTTACCATACCGTAAAAAATATCAAAAATAAATTATGTTTTCATATTGACATATTTTATTACCATTCCTTACTTGATTTTTAAAATATACCGTATAATTTCACGTTAACAGGATATACGTTTTTTTTAAAGTTAGCATCAAGTTGCTGGTAGGTAACGCCGAAGCCTGCGAATGAACATGCAGGATAATTAGAATAGTCTTATATGTTAGTCATCAAAATAATTTGATTAATATTTTATTATATATCAGGTCTTCATTGGGGGCTGGGGAAACACTAAATCTGTAATCCGTCGTAATAGAACTAAACCAGAAGTTGCAGAAACAGACACACCTGACATCCTAAATGCAGGAGAATTTCGAGGATTTTGGATTCGTTGGCAGAGTGGCGTAGTGACCGTAGGGCGCGAAGGTGAGGCCGCTGCTTTTTTAACTTACGAGGATCCTGAACCATTTAATATTACCCATTATGGAGTCTGTACCGGTTGGGGAGCCACTGGATCCTGGAAGATAGAAGGTAATTTTATATTTTTTTACCGCTGTAAAACAGGCTTCAATTTAAATTGTTATCATTAATTTCTTTTAATTCTGTCGATATTTTACAAATAAACTAATAATAATTTCTAACGATTATAAAGGTGTGTAGCATATTTTTTCTTGTTTAATTTTGCCAGATGATTGACCCTAAAAAACATATTTACTACACTGTATTAACTTCCCGTAGGGTTTTTATTGTAATCGTTTAAAAATCGAAAATGAAAATGTTTGCATACCTTCACGTTTTAGAGGTTTCTGGACATTTTAGCATACCACAGAAAAAATGGATGTGCATGTGTGTGTGTGCATATGTAAGGATTCAACTTTTTGTCCACATCTTTGTAAACACAGAACAACCGATTTGCAATATTCAAAAAGCAATAGATTTCATTGATTATTATCTATTCTTATTATTATCTATTCTTATTATTATATCTGTTCTTATTATTATCTATTATATAATCAGCAAGACGTGTTGATTAGTTTTTGGCAAAGGCAGATCATCCATCCGTTTCGGAAAAACGGAGCAAAGAGTGCACAAAATAGAAATCGTGTTTTTGAGAGTACCTATCATCCGATTTCAATGATTCAAAAAAATAAAATCGTAATGATGGAGAAAAGTGGCGATTTGTTTTTGGTAAAGACAGACTCGGCCGTTTCAAAGATAAGGAACTAAATGTGTAAAATGGCAGTTTTTGAGAGAACTAAGCATTTGATTTGAATGATTCAAAACACTTTCTGCTTGTGTCGACGAAAAAATTGCATTTTGAACAAAAAATATTACCAAATTTTTTTTTTTTTTTTATTTTTTTATATTGTAATTAATTTTAATTTGAATTTTAATTCTGGCTACAATTCTAAAGCGCGATGTCCTTCATTTTAAATCTGGATGATTAAGTTTTGTTTGTTTACTTTTTTGTAAACATATATAATCGTCGTCGTCCAATTCATAAGTTCTTATATTTTGTCTATAAAATAATCATATTGAAAGTTAAGGTATTTATAATAATCAATTTGAAAGCATTTAATATTCTTCGAGTATTCCATTACAGAACTAAAGTTTCAGCAATTTGCCTTAAGTCACGACCCCACTAGTTTTTATAAAATATTCTATATTCACGCAATTATCAAATGATATGATTTTTATCTTATGTATAATAATAAAATTTGATGGCGTCGTTTGTCAGAAACAAGTTGAACTTTTGATTTGTCCACTCTGGTTGTAGTAAAATTTCAAGAAATTTGCGATGGCCAGTTTTTATAAAATATTCTACATTCACGCGGTTATCAAATGATATGATTTTTATCTTATGAATAATAATAAAATTCGATGACGTTGTTTGTCAGAAACAAGTTGAACTTTTGATTTGTCCACTCTGGTAATAGTAAAATTTCAGGAAATTTGCGATCTGTTATAATAAAAATTCATATTAATATATATTAATGTTCATCAATATGTTTACTTTTTATTGACGTCCCACAGGGTAAGTATAGTAATTGTCGAGAATATTTTTTTTTTCATAACTTTAGAATAAATGTATGTGAGATTGTGTGTGCGTATATATGTATGTTTGGATACTATAATTGTTGGATACGATAATTCTTTGTCAACGATTTCGGGTGCACGGATCAACGCATTTTAATAATTCAAAACCATTCGATTCCTATTGACATGAAGACGTGCTGATCAGTATTAGGGAAAGGCAGGTCCATTCGTTTTGAAGGTACGGGGCACAAAGTGTTAAAAATAGCAACTAAGTTTTTGAGAAAACTGAGTGTCCGATTGGAGTGATTCAAAAAGTATTTCACTTTCATTGACGGAGTAAAACATTTGCTACAATTTTGGGGACACAGGTTTTATTATTTAGCGGTTTCGAAGATACAGATGGAAAAAGTTCCAAACATATGCATTTGAAGTTATGTAAGCCCAGGGGTTACATAACTTTTTAAGGGTTCGGTACTAATACGAAAAAAATGAAATTTACTTGAAAATTTCGAAAAATTAGATTTTTTTCTAATATTCGAGGTTTTATAAAATTTCGTTTTTTCAAAAATTAAAAAAAATATTTTTAAAATTTAAATAAGAAAATATTTTTTTATAAAACAACTTTGTTTTTGTAAGTACTGTAATTTTATCTTGCTTGAAATTTGAGATTTAGAATTAATATTCAGCTACATTTTTATCTGACTAAGCTTTTGTGTTCAATTTAAAAAAAAGGACTAGCTTTTCTCGAATAACACAATAATAATCGTAAATTTTTAATCATTATTTTAAAGTAAGACCCACTTGGAAGTTTTCAATGAACTACAGATTTGCAAAAAAAAAATTATTAGTAAATTCTGGTTGACACCTATATATTTGTAACAAATATTCTAGTCTCAATATTCATATCGTTTCTGAAAATGAGATTTATTTAAACCTAGAATATTTCTCACATCTCTAATGAAGAAGCAGCAAATTGATCATGTTTATTACTTAGGCATGTTGATTTTCTTACAATCTAGTACATTATCGTAAGTAATAATTTTGCATCCTCTAAAAGAGTCTACAGCGAAAAAGTAAATTTATATATTGTTCATAAATTCGATCATTTTTGTCGTCTTTAAATTAGACCACATTTAATTGATACACATATGCCAACAATTAATTCAATTGTCAAACTACTATATAAACACTATTGAAGGTTTGCTTTCTGGCTCTTCTACAAAGAGTATGGGCGTGTTTCCATACAGAATTGGCTCCACCCTGGTATTTAAATGATTTGATGCCATTTTATAGGTATTTTCGAGAATATCCGATACACCAAATTTCAAATTCGTAGCTCATTATCGCCGAGATATCGGTGAAAATATGTGAAAGTGGCCCCTTTCTTCAAAGTCGTTTTTTGACGCAACTGCAAAAGATATCGACAAACAAATTACGCAATTCTATTCACATCGGTGTGTACTACATTATTAATAACAAAAATTATTTTTTAATGCATGAAAAAGTGAAAATGATTTTTTGTTCTGAATTTTCGGGTAGTGCGGTTGTTTGGACTAATTTTTAATTAGCTTAATTTTATTAGAAAGGCTGTTCAATTTTCTTTTACTGTCCAAAATTTTGTTTTATTTCATGTGGTAGTACGCATTCAAAATAGAAAAAACATAAGCCAGTACACGCTCGCGCTCATATAACACCCGTGTAAGTCGTCTGGAACATTTCTTTGTAATGCATTATTAATAAAACACAAGACAAAGGTATACATTTATATTTTGAATAATTATATATCTATATGTATGTGTATAATAATGATTATTTATATATGATTAAATATATATTATTTATATATTGCACAAGTATATTATATGATTGACTACATCGGTATATGATTTTTATTCATGCTACAGCAAGGTGTAGGAATGCAAGTATACTAAGTTAGTCAGAAAATATATTAAATAACTAGCTGACCCGACAGACTTCGTCTTGTCAAAAATCTACCAAATCGGTTCTGATTGCTCTGTTGATCCTTTGAGGTTCTGTCTAAAGCATCAAAAGATTTTGTATGTGCCATCGTGCATTCATCCCAAACGATCAATTGATATTGATGCAAATTCTTAGCCATTGCAGAGTTCTTCGAAATGTTGCAAGTTGGAGTTTCATCGCTTTGCATATTTAATGGCAATTTTAGTGCTGAATGGGCTGTTCGACCACCTTCGAGTAAAGTTACTGCGATTCCCGATGAAGCGAGTGCAAGTGCAATTATGTTTTGTGAGCGAATTGTTGCTAATATTAATAAAATCAAAAAAGTTTTTCCTGTACCACCAGGCGTATCTAAGAAGTAAATCCCTCCAGTTCCATCATTTGTTTCTTTTATAAGAATATCAAATACATACCTCTGTTGGTCATTCAATAGTGGAAGATTTGTTTCGATTAATTCTTTCAAATTGTTGAGATCACAGTTTTTCTCGATGAAACTCTTGGTTAAAAGCATCATGCATTGGACGATTGGGTGCGGCCATACTTAAGTGAAATAAAACTTTGTTTGACATCATCAAGCACATGTCTTCAATTGAAATCAATGCTTCGTTGTAAATTTCTTTACTGATTTGCATATTTGGATTTCCCATTCTATTCCGTATTTGACACAAAATATCATCACACACATAATCTTTGTACTTATCTACAAATCAATTGGGTTTGATGGAAAGCATGTGGATATGATTATAGAAAACAATGTTCGTATTTGATGAGCGTGTGAAGATATTACAGCATCGCTGAGAGTTTGATCCCAATGAGCGTCATTTTGTAGCAATTGTAAACGTTCACGGGCTTCTCTGTAGGATCCACACAATTCTCCATCAACAGTTCGTAAATGTTGGAATGATGTTGGGCCTCCTACATTGACTAATAGCAGTCGTAAATAAAAACATTCACCATGGCTTGGATGTACTGAATAAATTCGATCAATCGCATCGGTGGAATATACATCTGCGTATCCTGGTACTGGTTTTCCTTGTTTCCATCGTTTAAATCTTCCTGATTCCAAGTATAATAATTTTGGAATTTTAGAATATAGCAGTGTTTGTGCAAAATTATCGTTTTGACATGTCTCAAAAAAATTGTTAATGTAATAGATGGTGGCTGAGCAGCTCTTTGACCTGCGTTTACTGCTCTAAAGTACACCCTTTGCCCATTTCCTAAATGCACAGCTAAGTGAATAACAGAATAGTGACTCTCATGAATTGGGAAAGAAAATATTCGCCAAATTGCTTCATTACTACTAACATAGCGGCCCATGTGGTATTGAGTAACTTGTATGTTCATTTCGGTCGTCATGTTCTTGTGCAGTACGATTAGATCGGTAATTAGCTTGGTTTATAGCATTTCGTGTTCTTCTACTTAAATTGCCTAGTCTTATAGGAGGCAATATTAAAATATTGTGTCACATGCAATAACTTTTTATTCATAGGTAGATAACAAAACACTACAAACAAAAGCACACACAGCAGAGTATAACAGAAAATGCAAAAAAAAACACCACCGGCAAGAGCGGCAAATGGACATTGACATTGATTTTTTCAATCTTATATGACTTGAAGTCAAATTCTTTAACGCCATACCAATTTTATCGCCTGCCGAAAGTAAAACAAAAGAAATAATATCGAGAAGCCGACTACGATTATTTGTATTAGTTAGAAAAGGGGTGTTTTTAGGGTTTTCCCGACGATCATTTGAATTTTTCTCACCGTAAGAACCATTCTTGGACATCAACTAACATTTTAAAAAAAGAATTGGCCAAATTGGTTCAGGCGTTGTTGAGTTATGCGCTTACCAACACATTTTGCGATCCATTTTTATATATAAGGTTATCTTGAGTTTTTTTTTAATTAAATTATATATGAAAATATATTGAATCGAATATCTCTACCTATAAATACTCATAATAATTGTCATGAACTACTATACTATTGTCCATAATCTTTAATTAAAACATTTTGCTTGAGTTGACGGTGCGCAAAAAATGCATTTACAGCAAATTTACAGTAATTTTGAAAATTTCAAAAAAAAAATCAAAATTTTCTAAAAAAAATTTAAGTTTCAAAAAGTTCAAATTTTCGAAATTTTTCATCATTTTCAAAAAAAAAACTAAATTTTGAAAAATAAAACAAAAATTTGAGAATATTTCGAAAATTTCAAAAAAAAACGAATATTTTCAAAAAGTTTCAAATTCTCAATATATTTAGGAAAAACTTTTTTTTTAATTCCCAAAAATTGAAACTTCTAAAAATATTTCAAAATTAAGAAAAAAATTCTGATTTATCAAGAAAAATCGAAATTATCAAAAAAATCTATTTTAAAAAAAAGGACTCTTGTAAACGTACTTATAAGTTGTTAATAAAATACGCTCGTCGTCCAAGTTAAAAAACACTTATAAGTTTATAGTATGTGATAAATAATCTGTTCGAAATTATTCAAAACAATTATTGATTATTTACATTCCTCGAATGTTTTGATTACGGTACGGGAAGTTGAAGCAATTTGCCAAAAGGCACGATACCATGCGCACCACTAGTTTTAGATTTTTTCTTGTGAAAACTATTATATCTATCGATACAAAAATTGAGGGTCATGTTACGGTCTACGTTCTATACAATATAGTACTGAATCATACTGAATACTATCAAAATGTCATGTATTTGCTGTGGATTCAGCCGATTTACATATAAACTGCAACGTCACTCGTATGTAAAGCCGAGTCTGAAAAACCAAGTTATCTAACATCGCTTTTTTGACATTTATGCAGTTGCTAAGTTAGGTCTTCTATCTGGCATCTTGAGAAATACGCCTGACTGCACAGCAACCTCACGGTTTTAGTCAATATTTAGACCGAATTTGTATGGAAAGGTCTTTATAATATAGCCTTGCCCTAACATTAGTCTGTTATGCGGCAGAATCAGTCCCTTATACACACGTGAAGGCATTTTTTAACTATATTTTAAAAATAATTACAGGTAAAAATATTTATTAAAAAAAAGTTACAGCAGATCTGCGGTAGCACCTCTCGAAAATCACGTTTTGTGATGACCACTCTATCTCTGAAGTAAATCATCTGAAATTAAAAAATCAAAAAGATTTCATTAAAGAAATGATAAATCTAGTAATTAATCGAAGAAATGAGCAAAATGATGACCTTAAATTGTTCATAAAAACCAAAATATTTATCGGATAGGAAAAATCTTTGATTAATCACAAAAAATATATTTCAGAAGATACTGTTAAAATTTGAGACTAATCAGATTAGCCGTTTTCGAGTTATGTTGGTCACCGATTTTGAAAACACAATTTCGAGAAAAATGGTTTAAAGTTTGGAAAGCAAATTATATGGGATATTTTGTTTTTTCTTCATCTTATGTGGAGTCATCTACTCTAGGGTCATATAAGAGACCCTTCACCGATTCGGAAACTTCAAATAACTCGAGCTGATGTTGTCTGCGAGCCATTTTTTCATCTTGAGTGCAGTCTCGCATCGATCTGAGATGATCTCGCGCTGCTAATCTTCTTTTTCTGCATTTGAATGTATATTGATCCCAAATTGTAATTTATATTGCATTCATATAATTCAATACTGATTCCATTCCTTCATTAAATATGGCGGTGGCTATGTATGCAGCGTTTTTCACAGTTTTCGAACCGGTCGGAAAAAAATTTTCACATTTCACTTATTCAGAAATTGATTTAAAGACTGCTATAATATTCAGAATGCAATACTACACAGTTGAATCACATATAACTAGGTTCACCTATTGTTTTTTCGCCGGATAACTAACTACTTTCTTCCGTCTCAGTTTCAGTAGTGTTTTTCTTTTAAAATTTGCGTGCAACTTCGAAAATATTATTTATATGAAATTTTGTGTGTGCATTCTTAAATATATGTAGAGTGAAGTGGACAGACGTGGGCCACAGGTTGGAATAACTCTAAGACTAGTGACATATATGTCGAACCGCGCACATATTTATCATATTTTGATACTTGCTCAATTTTAAAATGAATTTTGTGGTTGTAAACCAACTCTCGCACTGTACAGAGAAACGCGCTAAGAATTTCGTTGAGAAAGTTTTTAGCGTCGTACGCTCTTACGTGATTTGTCATCGAATTTTTACGAGAAAAATACTAGTAAATATGCAATATATTATATAGACGTATAATCTTTGAAATGCAAAATAATTTTTGCCGATTGTTTACATTTTTTTACAAGAAAATGCGTTTGTAAATAGAAGTGGGCCACTATTTGTGGACAGACATGGGCCACTTGCGCAATGCCGTTGTTTGCACAGTAAAATATTTTTATTAAAAAATCGAACGTCTTATTTACTTATTTTTATCTCTTCAGTCATAATGCCCCCTCCAAACTCCGAAAAAGTGGTGATTTTTGAACAGTTGATTATTGCTTTGAAGGAAGTGAAAATAACTAACAGATCGGAGAGTGTTGCTTCTGCTGTTATCAACGTTAGCAGATTGTTTTTTCAACGCCTTAATACATTCCCTAAAAACAGTGGTCGTCGAGGCAGAAGCAGCACAGGGTCAAAAATTCGAAGTACCAGCGAAAGTATCCAAGAAGGCCAATACTTCATAATCAGCTGTGAAAAAGGCAAAGAATAAAATTCTTCGATTTCTTCAAGTGAAGACAACGATTTTGGCATGATTTGCAATAGATTGATGTTGGCATATCTGTTGAAAAAGTCCTTGGAATGCGATAACTACGACTGACCCTTCCACTTGAAGCGAGTGTATATGACCAACTTGACGTGCACCAATTACGCCTAGAATCTGTGCTTGATTGTTGCAAAATGTTTTTTTTAACAATCTTATCATTCCAACTTTATTACTTCTTTTCAGACATTAAATGAACATTTTTACTGAAGTCACTGTTTTTTCAATTTCTACCCGTCATATCGAGTCAACGATTTTGAATTTTGTCAATTTGACAACAGATTCGTAATCAGCATATTTGAAAATTTTCAGAGTAAGAATTTGAAGCATTTAGCAGCATTTTTTCAGATAAAAATTTGGGTGGCCCCACTGCTCCCTACATTTTCGAAAAACACGTTAAATACACTTTTTTGCTATTTAAAAAAGAGATACTTCCAAACATAATTGCAAGCATCTGCTATGATAAAAAGTTGCATTTTGGAGTACCCTTACAACTACAAAAAAAAATTAAGAAAATATTTTCATTTTTAACCATTTTACAATCAAAAATAAAAACGTGACCCACTTCTGTCCATTTTACTATACGTTCAGAAAATGAAATAATTTTTAAAAAATCCTAATTGTATATAACCTCTAAAG